TCAAAGTTTCAATTGAAGGTAACGGTTTATGCACTAGTGTGTATTACAAACCTACAGACTCGCATAATTACTTGTTATATTCGTCTTCGCATCCATCTCACGTTAAGAATTCCATTCCTTTTTCTCAGTTTCTAAGACTTCGTCGTTTATGTAGTGATGACTCTGATTTCCACCACAAATCAGAGTCAATGTGCCAGTTTTTCGATAAACGTGGTTACCCTGTTTCTGTCGTTCAAGCGGGTTACCACCGCGCCCAACTTATTGATCGACATTCAGCACTACAAACGTCGCATAAGGAAGATTCCGACCGCATTCCATTCACTCTCACGTTTCACCCTCACAACCACTCAGTTAAATCCATCATTCTTAAAAACTTTAAATTACTTCAAAACGATCCAGAGACAAGCACTATCTTTTCGCAGCCTCCGCTCATTTCATTCAAACGCGACAAAAACATAGGCAATTTTTTGGTCAGAAGTTCTTTTCAGACTAATGACCAACCAGGCACTTTTAAATGCGCTCGTGCACGATGCAAAACGTGTCCTTTCATTCACAACACTGATAAAATATCGGGACCTAAACGATCCATTAAGATCACCGATCACTTCACGTGCACCTCCGCCAATGTAATCTATTGCATAACTTGCACTTATTGCAAAAAGATATACATCGGCGAAACAGGCAGAAGACTAGGTGACCGATTCCGAGAACACCTTCGAGACGTGGAAAGGAATGACAAGGACACATCGAAACCAGTCGCTAGACATTTTAATTTACCTAATCATTCTAAGCAACATATGGCAATCTGCGGTCTTTCCTTACACTTAGGTAGCACGGAAAGCCGTAAAACTCTTGAACAAAAGCTCATCTTTCAAACCGGCAGTCTAAATCCCACAGGTATCAATGAACGCTTTTCATTCCACTAATTTATTCCTGTTTTTCTTGTTGCCATGTTCCCACCAATAACATAGCTCCATTTTCTGCCTTTAAAAGCGCACACAACCCACAATTCCTCTGTTCGCTCCGAAGAAGGGCTAACGCTCGAAATGTCAACTTTTGTAATCAATATGGTGGCCAATTTACCATTTCAACTTTGTTGATATATCCAAATTAAGAGCATTTTGAGTTCACGATCATTGTCTTAATTCTCTTGACCTTAATGTTTGATTCAGGGGTGATATTGTAAGGAGAAATTAGGGGCTGTGAGAGGTCAAATGGTCAAGCCTCAAGATGGCCTGTGAGCCTGCAAAATCTTTTGGAGCCAGATTTTTTTTCCCCTGGCAATTGTTTTAAGATTCAAGGTTGTAGGTGGTGACGTTGAAAAAGGTTGTACGCAGAACCCTGAAGTTTGTGTTTTCCTTCTCTAACAGGACTCAAACCATCAAAGAACAGAGTATCACCTCATAAGAATAACACTGAACACCAATCAAACCGTGTTAAGACTACAACACCCAGTCCAGATGTATCTGATAGAGATAAACAGCCTGCTGAAGCTAGAATAACTCTACCAGAAGAAACAAAAAGAAAGGTAGAAACAGTGGACAGTACAAGTCATGAAATTGAAAACAAATTTACGACTCAAACAGACACAGCTTCTAAAAAGAGCATTCTGAAAAGAGGTAATGAAGAGCAGAATTTTCAGATTGATCAACTTTCTGTTGTTAAAGAATCTTTGCCCATGTTCAGCTTGGACATAAGTGAACCTGTGACTGGTTCACACAAGGTCAGCCCCAATCATGAGGGCATGAAAATGTCTGAATTGGACCCGGATGAATATGAACAACCCATTGCTTCTCTGACAGATGAAGAGATGAAAATCATTGGGTTGACCTCAGTTTCTTTATCTGGTCACAATCAAACTGCTGCAGGAAGCACAGATTTAGAACATATTTCAACTTCAAATGAATCTAATTGCACTGTTTCTGAAAGTAACTCCTCAGTTATGAAAAAATTTTCAGAGTCTGAAACCAAAAGTGAGGGTCAGATGAAGAATAACTTGATTGATGTTACTGCCACGGAATCCTATATTGCCAAAGAGGCAAGAATTGCACAAATCAAGGCTGATAGTTTAAAGAAAAAACTTGAGTCCAAAGCTGTTATGGAAAAAAATGAATCATCAGTGGTTTTGGAAAGTGCATGTACAGATGAGAAACAAGAACTCACTGGAGGCAAAGAAAAATCTGACATGCTTCAGGATAAACCACAAAGACGGAAATCTGTTCAGCTTCAAGTTTCTGCTGAAGGGGTTAAGGATGTGAAATATTCTTTGGACGTACTACCTTCAAAGAAAAGAAAATCCCAGCAGTTAATACCTTGTTCTTCTCTTTATGGTACTGCAACAAAGAATGAGGATAATAAGAAGGCCATGAAAAGGAAAGATGGCATTTCTAAACAGGAATATACAATACATGAGTTGTTTTTGTCGGCATCAAAGTCACTGGAACATACTGTTACAAGTAACTCTAGAAAATCATCTCTTGATAATAGTTCTAAAGACATAAAAAAATGCAAAGCTGTGTCAGACAGTCCTGTTAAATTAAAAGAGAAGTCGTCTGTCAAGCGGCTAACTTCAGAAAATGTTAATGCGCCAAAAAGAAAACTTAGTCTTTCTGAGACTGAAATCAATTTCTTTGGTCCTTCTAAAAAGCAAAACAAAACTGAGAAAGTGGAAAAACAAAAGAAAAGTAAGGTGGAAGTAACTCCTGTTAAAACTTTGAAACTCCAAATACCAGAGAACAGAGGATTGGAGAAGAAGAAGAAGAAGAAGAAAATGCAGAAAGCCAAACTTCTGACAAATGTAACTATCTCAAGTGATGACAGTGATTATAGTGGCCATACGCACGGTGGCTCAAACCATGAAGAGAATGATTCCCTGAGAAGAATTTGGGATAACTTTGAACTGCCACAAGATGAACTTACAATGGAGAAGGATTTACAATCACCAGTTAAAAAACAGACACAAGAATTGCCAAGGAAGAGAATTTTATCAACTGCATCTAATGACTCTGATGTGATTAAACAACCATCAATGGCTGATGCATTAGGACTTGGGAAGAAACAGCGAGTGGCACATATGTCCAGTCATGTAAGTTTACCCTTTGCACCCTAACATCTGCATGCATAATCTCCATACTGTTCTCTATAGATTTCGTGAGGTTAAATTCTGACAAGGAGAATTGGTTTGACAATCAAGAGCTCCTTTTGTTGGCAATCATTTGAGTTATTCTTATGATCTAAATGTTTGATTCAGCAGTAATACTGTATGGAGATCTTAGAAACCAATCAATCGTAGTGGTTAAAGGGTTAATTAAACTCATCACTGAGAACAAAAAGGCAGTCTCAACTATGGCAAGCAAAAGTGAACAAGAACGTAGCTGGAACACAATACAAATGCCCCTGCAACAAACCCAGTAAAAGCAAACCCCCCACACGTGGCTGCCCGCGGACCACCGCTGACTGCATTGGCTCAAGTTTAACTTCGCCTGAATTACATTCAGCCACATTGAGCTAACCGCCTCCCAGTTAGCTCAATAGATAGAGCGCTGGACTGCTGTGCGGGAGGTCGAGGGTTCGAGCCCCGGCCGGACCAACACTCAAGTCTTAAAATAATTGAGAAGAATATGCTGCCTTTCTATAACATCAAGAAATGGTTAGATATTCTAGTCTTCTCAGATAGGGACGAATAAATGGAGGTCCCGTCTCCTGCAGGGTTAGGGGTAGGAGACGTTAATTTCCCACGCACGAGATTACTGTG